GAGGCCCCGCGGCTAGAGCGGCGAAGCAGCAATCTAAGAAGTCCCGGGCCCAGAGGGCTTCCCTCCCATAGCGCAGGCGCCTTTCTGTCCCCATAGAGCTCGGATCGCCAGAGCGTCGCGGCGGAAACCAGGCGCTCCGAACCCGCCTCTCAGTGACCGGACCCAGGTGGCCCCCCACAGGGAGGGGGGGGTCTGAGGTGGCGCGCATGCGCCAGACAGGGCAGTGCCTGATTGGTCCCGCAGCGGACGCGGGTCGGCGTGGCCTGCGCAAAAGCAGCCGGAAATCCCGCCGGGGAAGCTCGCCCGCGCGGTGGGTCCTGCCTGAACCCGGGCCTCCCTTCGCCCCACCGGTGCAGCCCGGCGGCGCGGTTGCCATCCGGCCGGTGCAGAGGCTGCGAGATGGGCGGCAGATGAACGGGAAGAAGAAAGGAAAGACTCCCCGCTGCGCCCGATCCCCGCAGGGCCCGCCGGGAGGGGGAGGCGGCGCGCCCGCTGACCGCCCGTGCTGAGCCCGGAGCAGCCCCCGGCCCGCCATGGAGGCCCGGAAGGCTGCGAGGTTCGCCCTGCAGGCGCAGGAGGAGGAGGAGGAGGAGGTGAGCGGCCGTCCGTCTCGCTCCCCTCCCCGGCAGGCAGGCAGGCAGGCAGGCCCAGCCCCGGGAGAACCCGCCCACTTTCCTGGTCAGCGCCTCTCACCCGGGGGCCGGGCCGGGCCGGCTGAGGGCATCCTCGTCGGCCCAAAACCCGCTGCCAGGGAGAGGTGGGGGGAGCGCTTACCGCTGGGCGTCCACGTCCCTGCACGGAGAGCAACAGGCGAGCGTTGCCAGCTGAAGCCCCGGAGCGTCTCTTCCCATTCAAAAGGGACCACGGGGCTCCCTCCCTTTTCGGGGGGCGGGGAGAGACAGTACCGGAAAGCGTCTGACTCCCACGAAGCCTCCTGCCGCTTCTTCCTTGGGCCCACTGGGGGCCCATTCCCCGCCTGCCTCTGCCCCCCCTCCCCCCTTTGAGTGATCTGTGAGTCCCTTCCCGGAGTCCCTTCCCTCCACTCGGGTGATTTGGGTCCTTGTGCCCGGAAAGCCTCTCTGCGGGGCCGCCATCTCTCTGCACCTGAAGCGGATTCTTTGCCCCCCCCCCCCCCACACCATTTCCCTCATTCCCAGATGGAGCCTCTCTTCAAACCGGTTTCAGCAGCCGGAGCCACAACAGTCCCTGCTGCCTCAGCAGCGCCCAGGGGGGCATCCTATGCAGACTACATCGTTGGGCAAGCCGTGGCCACCTCCTCCTCTGCCGCTCAGCAGAAACCCACCTGTGCTGCTCCGGCTGCATCGGCCTGGAGCATCTCGGAAGAAGCCCCTCCTCAGAACCAGGAGAAGAACGTGGTGCCCCCCAAAAGCACAGACAGAGGCTCCCCCTTGAACCCCGCAGGCCCCAAAGCAGGGGCCAAGCACAACACTATTATCGTCAGTCCACGGCAGGTGAGTTGAAGCAGGCAGGCCAGCTGGGAACATTCCTGGCAAACCCCCCCATTTTGACAGCCTGGCGGTTGTGAGGCCAGCCGTTCAAGGCCCGTGTGGGTCGGTGCTCAGGGACAGCTGTCCAGGAAGTGGGCAGGGCTACTCTTCACATCCAGCGCAGACCACTTGGATCTCCCTGGGAACTGGTCAGGGGTGTCCTCTCCCAGGGTTCCTCAAACACCGTAGGCGCTGCCAGAGTTCTGGCCTTTTTCTCTAGCTGGCCTGGTCTCTCCCCAGCTGCCGCCCCTCCCTGTTCCCTCAGCAGAAGGCATGGCCTTTCTCCACCCTGATAAAATGCCTCCACATTCCTCAGGAGTTTCCACGTACTTCTGATGCTTTTGGAGCCCAGTTAGTGCTTCTGTGACTTCCTCCCCAGTGACAGGACTCTCTTCTGCCTGCAGAGGGGGAACCCCATTCTGAAGTTTGTCCGTAATGTGCCTTGGGAATTCGGTGAAGTTCTCCCAGATTATGTATTGGGCCAGAGCACCTGTGCCCTTTTCCTGAGGTAAGGAGAAGGAGCCCAGATTCACTTCTGCCACCAGTGTTCAGGGGAAATTATAAAAACACTTTAAATGTACTTGCATATACAGCAATATCAGTTTTGAATACAATCTTTGCCAGTTGAAACACAGGAGCGCTTTTTGCCAGAAACAATTCAAAAGGAATTGGGCTTATTTTTCTATTAAAAAAAAAAATCTCACAGTACTGCAAGGGAAACCATTTGATATTAGTTAAGTCTCCTGCAAATTCTTTTTGTCAGATCCAAAATGCTATTTCCCCCTTAGTATAAGCAGGATGCTCTCCATTCTTTTCTTTGGAGCTTTTAAGGTTGTTTCTAAACTTCCCACGATGGCAGCTGGTGAAATGCACAGCCTGAAAGGCAACAGCCGATTTTAGCCACACAGATGAAGATTTAAGATGCCTGTTGCAGAATCCAATGCAGATCTGAATCTGCCCCCTTTTTCAATCATCGTTGCAACATTATCGGGGTTTGGTAAAACCAAATCTTGATATTGGCTGCCCCTTTGAAAAAGACAAACGCCCTTTTTTACCTTTACTTTTGAAGCCTCCGGTACCATAACCTGAATCCAAATTACATCCACGAGCGGCTGCGTAACTTGGGGAAGACATACCAGCTGCAGGTGCTCCTGCTTCAGGTTGACGTGGTGAGATGCACCCCCCCCCCCCCCCCCCCACTATACCATCCTTCCTGCCTCCTTGGGCAGCTGATTGTATGGATTTCCTCGGCCCCACGTTCCTTTCCCAGCCCAGCGTCCACTAACCACACCAGGCCCACGCCGCTTCTGTCCGTTATCTGTGGCTGCTGAGACTTTGGCAGCTGATGCAGGGCTGGGCCTGTTGCAGGGGGAGATGTTGGAGCTCAGGGCCCTTTGCTGGCCTGAAGGCAGGTGGCCCTTTTCTGCCTTCCAAGTCTGCCTTACTTGCAGTTCCTCTCTTTGCCCTTTCAGAAAGACCCCCACCAGGCAGTCAAGGAGCTGGCCAAGATCTGCATCCTTGCTGACTGCACCCTCATCTTGGCTTGGAGGTGAGACCCCAGCACTGGGCGGGTGGCAGAGACCTGGCTAGGGAAGACCCCTACAAGGGGGAGGTGCCGGAAAGCTAGTTTCTGCTTAACGTTTTCCTTAAGGCGAGATGCCCCTGCTCGCGTAGGAAGTCCGTGCCTAGATTTTTTCGGAGACAGACAGGAATAACCTGTCTGAGACAGAAGGGCAGGTCTCCTGAACTTCCTGCAATGACTTTCTGATCCTGTCCCACCTGTAGTCCGGAAGAAGCCGGACGGTACTTGGAGACGTACAAGGCCTACGAGCAAAAGCCGGCTGATCTGCTGAAGGAGAAAGTAGAGCAGGACTATCTCTCACGGGTGAGACTGTTTTCCTTTGGCTGGGGAAGGGAGGACAGCAGAGGCATCTCCTCACCCCCCAGGTCCCTCTGCCCCGGGCACAAGCTGCCACTTGCCTTGCACAGTAGCTAAACGTGGCCTGGTGCTGCCTTTGGTCTCTCCCAGGTCACCGACTGTCTGACCAGCGTGAAATCCGTGAACAAAACAGACACCCTGAGCCTGCTCTCCACGTTTGGAGTGAGTGAGCCAGTTCTCTGTGCTGGGAGTGGGCCGGGGGGGTGGGGGTGTTTGGTGCTTTGAGCACTCCCTGGCAGTGTACAAGCCAGAAGGGGCCGTCTGTGACCCCCTACCCGCCAGGTTGCTGAACTCCACTTCCCATCAGCCCTAACCAAAGCAGCAAAAGTGGGAGGGGTGGGACTTGCAGTTCAGCGATATTTGTGGAAGCGCCTCCTGTCCTTTGCTGCCAAGCCTTCTTCCCCTTGACTGCCAGGTGGGTGTTGGTACCTGGGCATTCGCTTCTTTCTGGGCTTATGGTAGGCCTGGGATCGTCCCACTGAGTCCCTCTGCTGTTACCTTGCAGTCACTAGCCAACGTCGTGCAGGCGTCCAAGGAGGACCTTTCCCTGTGCCCTGGTGTTGGGCCTCAAAAGGTAAGGGGAGGCTGTTGCCCCAAGCCCTGGAACCCATCGGTTGGCACAGTGGAAGGGAAGCTTCTCCCCCTTTCCATAGTCGGGGGCTTCCCCTTTCTAAGCGCCTGTCCCAAGGGCAGCCCTCGGTTGCTGCCCTGAACCTCACTGCAGCTGGTCTGGGGAGCCAGGGCTTTCTCCCAAGGAGGGAGACCGGCTGGCACCGGGGGAGGGGGGGGCAATGCGGCCATTTCAGTTTGGGAAGCCAAACCTGGTAGCCCAGCTGTAATATTCCTGGACGTCCTGCACTTCGAGTCCCAACACATTTGGGAGAGACGCCTGACAGAAGAGGAGTTTGTAGTGTCTGGAAAGTCTTTTGGTGGGGAATACCTGGAATTTCATCAAGGGGGGAAAGAGGACTTCCAAAGCCACCCAGACACCTCTCCCAACCCAACTTGCCTTCACTTGCACCTCTTCTTTCTCTCCAGGCCAAGAGGCTCTTTGACATCCTTCACGAACCGTTTCTGAAGGTGCCCAAGTGAGGAGGGGACGACGGACCCAGGACGATGCACAACCTCCTTTGAAACTCCCAGAAGACCAACCACACAACTCCCTCGGGGGAAACCTTATCTTTGCTATGTGAACATTGCGCAACAAAGCAGACAATAAAACACCCCCATTAGACGCTCATGGCAAAGCCTTCAGAGCTCCTGAATTTATTTGGAAGGGCAGGCAGAGCATGAATAAAACAGGGACACTTGGCGGGAAGAGAGCTGTCCCTCCCCGGCTGTTAAGTTCCAGCTGCAAATAGTCCAGCCTGGTCCTCCCTCTCCCTCCTCCTGCCCTTCTTTTTGGGCCTGGGGGCCGCTCCGTTCCTTTGCCATGGCTCTTCCAGCCCCTTTGCCTCTTGCCGGAGGGGGGCAGCCCAGTCCAGCACGTTGGTCGCCAAGCGCTGCTGCGTTTCTGTCCCCTGTTCCGGTAGAGGCTCCTTGTCCAGCTTCTCCTTTTTGCAGGCCAGGAGTTCCCCAGCTGGGCCCAGATGCTCCTCTGGAAGGTGCCCCAGACAATTGTCCCCCGGCTCCTCCTTGATGGCAGCAGCGCCCCATAGCCCCTCCGCCGCTCTCTCTCGGCTCCTCTTCTTCTT